AATCAATCTTTATTATGATGAATACATATTGATATTTTAAATAAATATATCTAATCAAAATAAAAGAGAACAAAAATATCTTTATTTTATAAACATATTAAATTATACACATACAAACATTTCAATTATTCGTACACGGTTTAGAGAACAAGAAAAATTGTATAGTATGTTTTATTAAGTAAATGAAGTTCATTTTCGAGGCTTGTACGCCCATTTTCTATCGATAGTTTGTAAATAAAAACTCCCGTAAATAGGTTAATAGTTTTCCGAGTCAGACAAAAAAGAGAATGGGTACGAATGAAAAAGTGAGAACGGAAATGAGTAGAGTCAAAACATGATCGATGCGATTTTTCTTTATCAACGACTTAAAGCACATTGAAAAAACAAGTGTATGAACGAACAAAAGAAAAGCTAGGTCATGATGATGATTTGATGTCCGTCCGTTACTCTTCTATATGCTTTGTTTTTTTTTTCATTCTATGATCTCTGAAAAGACAAATGACTTTAGCTTGTCTAGGGAATGTTCTTTGTGAAGAAGCACGATGAAGATATTTCTCTTTTGATTTTTATTCTTAATCGAGTCGACTCGTTATTATAATGAAAAGATTCATAGTGGTTTGTGAATGTTTTACACATTCCGTCGAATTTATTCTATTCTCGTTTTTTTTTTCTATTCAGCAATTATTGATTCTAGCTAGGTATCTAGAAAGAGAACCTATTGCATTTTTATTGATATTATGATGAATTTTTAAAAAAAAAGGAAGAGAAGAAGTAAGTCAGTGAACATATTTAAATGACTTGTTAATTATTCAACAGTTAGAAGAAGAAAAAACGGGGCGACAGACAAATTCTTTACATAAAGAAACAAATTGTTACAACTTAACCACATTGAAATGTCATTCACATTATGAAAACGACAAGAAATATATGCGATAGAATTATTTTTATTGGAACTTTTGGTTTTCTTTTACTCTTTGGGGAAACAAATTTTTTATTTAGTTTTAGGTTTTGTTTTTTGTTTTCTTATAAAGTATTTGATCAGGTGTAGTCAAAGAATATTTTCTATAAAAACTTTAGTAAATATACAAATATTGATTAGTTTTCGATAGTATTTTGGATTTGGTTTTAATATATGCATTATCAGTGATCTGATGTGACAACAATCTCTCTTTCTAGGACTACATTTATTGATAGTACTCATTGAAAAATTGCGAGAGCGAGAGAGAAAGTTGGGCGTAATAGTAAACAAGATGATAAAAGGAAATAAAAAGAGTAGAAGAGAAAGAACCACGACAACAAAGCACTTCGACAGTAAAAAATAATTGTGATGATGGACAGCAACAAGTTGTATTTTCATTGTTTGTTGCCAATGCATTAGTTTTCATTGAAGTGCACTTATTGACTAGCTATTTATATCGAAAAAATGGTAGTTTTTTTTAGCTACAATTAGATTTACCAACGTTAATGGTAATCATAAAAATAATATAACAGCAGGTGCAAAGGAAATAAAAGTAAAAAGTTGTGTAAGATGATTTTGCTTTTATCTTCAGTTTGAAAATGATATATTTTATATTACATATATATATTATTTTTGCAATATGTGAAATTGATAGTAATAATATTGCTATTTGTTTTCTTGTTTTTTTTTTAATGCAACATCTGAAACATATTGCTTTGCATATTTTTATTATCTCTTGTAATTGTTCGATAACTATTTGTAGTTCATCTATTTTATATATATATGAGTAACCTTTGCATTGGAAAATACACTTAGAAATGAAATTTTTGTATTTTCATGAGTGTCAGATTAATAAGCATCTAGTTATGCTATTACACAAATAAATTTCCTTGTCCAGAAGTTTATTATATATTCATGGGTAAGTGAATAACGATTGTAAAGAAAAAATATATGTTTTCACAAATTCTTAACTACTAATATCCTTAGCAAAACAACAAAAAGAATGATTGACAGAGACATAAGAAAAATGTTCTTCTTATTCTTTTTACTGTGTTTTTTTCTCTATGCATGCGGTCTCTTTCTCTAATAGTTGAAATATGTTCTACTGCTCATAGTATGGGTATCACAAGAGATCGATAATATGCAAACGATCGAGAATTGCCGCTGTTATTGTCGGCATCTTTGTGTGTTCTGTCTTCCTCTCTCTCTTCGTCACTTGTGCTCTTATTCGGAAAAATGTCTGTCAGAATGTTTACTAGCATGGTGTATTTACACAAATCGTATTATAATCTCATTGTCGCTCTACCAAGAACTATTGACATAAAAATTCTTTCTCTCTTTATCGTGTGGGAAATGTTAATATATTATTAAAAAGTATTGAAGCATATGAAATAGTTTTGTAATTATTCTTCTTTTTTACTGTGACTTTTTTCAACAAAGGTTTGATATGTCAGATTAGCATCTTAATTTAGTTAGAGAAAAAAAAATTCATGCAATTCGTTACGTGACTGTCGTATACTAGTAAACTTAATGGAAAGTATACTCCATTCTATGTAACTCGTTGTTGTCACAAGTACTTATGAAAGGAACATGTATTTAAAAACTACGATGCATTTTGTTTTCTTTTTTTGTTTTCAAGTATTTATTCTGATTTTAGCCTAGATTGTAAAATGATAAGAAGTAACATTCGAGTACATATACTATCTACTGACAATGATAGTATTTCCGTTATATGAATATAGTTGTTGCGTGTTGTTACTGTCTATTTCGACTCCCTTTTTTTTTAATACGGTCACGCACATTTATGCAATAAAGTAAGTAACAAAATAAATGAATGAATGAATGAAGAAGAACAAAGAGAATTTTTTCTTCTTTAGCTATAACAAGAGATCATATTTGGAGGTTAGTTGTACTAGTGTTCTTTTATTGATCCGTTTAAACATTTGCATAATTGCCGATTTTAATGTCACTTGACCTTTGCTAACTATGATAATTTAGAGAAAAAAACCAACAAAATTTCATTATGTCGTTGTTTTTTTTATTTTTATTTTTTTTCGAATATTTTCATCATGCATATGTCAGAGATCTTAGATCAATCTGGTTCTCTTTGTCATATAATGATTATCATATCGGATAATACGAACAATGTGCTTGGTTACCAAGTACCATCATCTTTCTATGAATTGATGATAGTAAGTAGATCCAATTAGCACTTATCCTTTTCTTCTTTTTCTTTCTTCAGAAAACAAAGAATATAAAGTTTTTCAAGAGAGGTTAACCTAGATCACTGCTTTTCTTTCTTGAATTTAGTAAGATTTCTTTATGTTTCTATAAATATATATATATATATATATATATGTAATGTTATTGTCGATTGTCGAGATAAGAACCCTAGTTATATCGAAGAGATCGATGTTCTGTAGACAAGAACTTATTTGTTTATTTGATCAATCGTTGTTTAAGTATAAGATGTTTCCTAATTTTTTTGTGTTGAAAGACCTTTCAGTACGTATATATCTATATTTCACAGAATAACACTAATAGATTAGTAAAATCAAAAGATAATTGACATATATGAATGATATTGTTTTCTTAAGACTATCTTGTTTTTCTTTCACACTAGAGAAAATGGATTTTTGCATAAATGTGTATATAGTTAAAATAAAAGATTACTAGTAAATAATTAACAACAAACAAATGTCATAAATTCGTATATTATATATCTTTGTATTTTTCTATGTTAAATTAGTAAAATAACGAAAACTATCTCATAGGATTATAATGTTGATTATTGATCTTCTGTCATTACTACTGTTATGTTTCAGTTCGATACGATTGCTGCTTTGTTTTTCTTCTTTATTAGTAATAAATCAATAGAAAATGTCAATCATAATTTTCTCATAAAAACCTGTTGCTATATATGAAAAAGATCATTATCCATCGTTTAATAATACTAACAGGAAGATCTATGCCGATCAAAGTCTCGATCGATAATTTAACCATCGATCATAATTGTATTTTTTTCATTGCATGTATAACATCAATTCCTATGAGTTTCTTGTTGTCCTACGATAGTAGTATAAATAGTTAATGCAAAACAAATAGCAGTTATATATACAGACTAAATTTTTCAATTTCTATCTACATATCAATCGTAACTAATCAATGCAAATCATTTAGTCAGTAAAGAAATAAAATGTGATGATGTTATTGATCATTTTCTTTTCTTATAACTATTGCTAAATGACAAAATCTACTGTAAACACAATACTAACTTCATGTGTTTTCACTAAGCATATACAAACAGCTATATTAAAAGAACAGAACTCACTAATGTTTGTTCTCATGTAAGTACAAAGAAAATAAGAAAAACTAAGTATAGGATTTTCTTTAATAAAAGTAGATTTTGTCTGATATTTTAACTAATGAGATTTTCTTTTTTTTTCTTTTGTTTTATATATTCTGATAAGATCAGTAACAATGTCAATTAGATTACTTCTTTAAAATCTTACATATAAAAGAGAGAGAATGACAATACCATTGTTGAAACAAGAGAAGCAGCAATAACAACCAAACGGAACGGTAATAATAATTGTGAATTAGAAGATCTCTTTTCATCAACGTCGTCATTTTTCTCTTATTCTCTCTTTCTCTCTGTCTGCTTCTTTCTCAACGACATATTCTACTTTTCTTCTCTCTTTCTACGTCGAAACAACGGCGTTTGCTCCTCACGCATGATCGTCCCAAAATGAGACATGCTACGTTATGGCGAGAGAATCAGTCAGGAGATGACGCTTTCGACAGGCCATTTGAAACTTCGAGCAACACTAACACCGCTGACACAGTGCTATCAATCTATTTTTCAACCACAACAAAACCAAACAATATACATACTAAATTTAAAAGCAAATTTTATCATCAAAGTGAAATTTTCTATATCATTATTATTATCATTTGTTATAAGCATTATAATCATTGTCGTCACGCTTATTACTTCTTATTTATTTCTATTTCTATTTGTATTTATTGTTCAATTTTTAACATGCAACAATTCTCAAACGATTCTGGTTCCTGGAATTTAATTGTTGTTCCACCTTCATCATCTTTACTCTATAATTCAAATACCTATGAATCCATGCCACATAATACTACAACAGGAAATGATATAAATAATTTAATTTTACCAATATCATCTTTAGTAAACTCACAACCGACAACAAATGAAACAAATTCTGCTAATTATTGGGCATTAACACTTATAATTTTTCCTTTATTTACTATTGTTGGTAATGTACTTGTTGTTGTTAGTGTTTATCGGGAAAAATCATTACATACTGTAACAAATTATTTTGTCGTATCACTTGCTATATCCGATATAACTGTTGCTGCTGTTGTCATGCCATTTGCTATTTATCTTGAAGTGAGTAGAAAAAATGTAATTTAACAATTAACTATTCATTATTTAACAATGTATTTATGTCTATAGAGAGACAGAGAGTTTTTATTTTCAATGCGGAAATAAGCATCATGAGCACGTAGTAATCGTTATAGATATAAATTGAACAGAAAAAGAAGTTCTAAAATGAAAATAGTGTGTACGACATGATTGATGAGATTAAATAATTTGTAGATAAGTTATTCGTATAAAATACAAACATGTACAATCTATTTTGTAAAGAAAAAGAAAAATATTTCTTTCAATTGTAGGCGGAAATCCTGTGTGAAAGCGTGAGATCTTATTAAATACAGGATTTGTGGGCTCGCTTTTATCACAAAAGATCAAGTTGTTCTTGTCTATTTCAATATAAGCATGAATATATATTATTGTTTGGAATAGAAAATGGTTAACGATATCCTGTTGAATAAAATGTATATGTTGACCTTTAACATTTCTCAAATGATTTTCACAAACTCTATATTATTTTTCTTCATACGTATTCATTTAATAATATTAGTTAAAAAAATAATTTTCATTTCTTGTATTAATCTTCAAATTAGCTGGAGAGTTAAATACTAAATAATTACAAATGTTTATGTCGATAAAATTTGACATAAGAGATTAATATATGTGTTTTTTTACTTAGTTTAATCGTGTGTGGGAATTATCCGACCGTCTATGTGACTTTTGGGTTGCATCTGATTGTATGGCATGTACAGCATCTATATTAAACTTAGTAAAATAAAAAAAAAATATAATTTCTTTTCTAAATGAAATCATTTTTATTTTTTCATATTTAGGTTGCCATTGCAGTCGATCGGTAAGATATATTTAATGACAAACAAAAAGAAAATTAATCTCTTATCATAATAGAGAACTAAGGATGCCTGTCAAACACTTCCACTTGAGTCTGCACATAATTTCGTTCTTTTTTTTCAAGACCTAATAATATCTTTAAAGATTTTCATCAATGATAAACGTCATCTAATTAAAATCTAGTACATTTAAAATTTAATTTTAGTTATATAGCAGTAACAAAACCGCTTAAATATGCTCGACATAAAAGCCCTAGACGTGTTGCTATCATGATTGTTATTGTATGGTTAACATCATTTTGTATTGCTCTTCCTATTGTTAGGTAAAAATGAACAACGAAAATAATGTTTTGTCGTTTTTTAAGGTCTTGTTTTTTTTTTTTTGTATTTTAGTGGTGTGAATAAATCTGATGTTGCTGATTATCCTCGAGTACCTGAACAATGCGCATTTTTTAATAATAAATTTCTTATTTTTTCATCCCTTGGTTCATTTTTCATTCCATGTATTATTATATTTGCCATTTATTATCGTATATTTATGGTTATTATGGGACAAGCAAGAAAAAATCGTAAACAATTTCGACCAAAAACTGTTATTGAATCAGCTGCAGCACAACAGCGTACAAATGCTGATCATCTTATAACATCATATTTTCAAGAACGACCATCAACTATAGTCCAAACATCAATAACATCACCTGTTGATTTAAATGAAACATCACCAATAAATATGAATAATTCATTAGAATCTCAGCGTAATAGTTTAATGTTAAAATTAACTACACCTGTTTTATCACCCGGATTATGTCCTTTAATGAATACACTATCATTATCTAGTGAACAAAATGATGATGATGAACGTGATGATATTTCTTTATTTATTCAACATGAAGAAACTAATGGAAATAATAAAAATCAACATGCAAAGCAAATTGAAAATATTTCAACAAATATTATTCATTTTAAAACAAAAAATCGTAGTTCACAAACAGATATGGATAATCATTGTCATTATCCAGCTAAACGTGTTAAAACACGTTTAAAAGCTAAAATTAATTCCGATGGTTCAGCTATACCAACAACAGTTATAACATCAACAAGTAATGTTCGAGTTGCTAAACGTAAAGCTTATTCACGCATGAAAAAAGAACGTAAAGCAACACAAACACTTATTATTGTTCTAAGTAAGTTAAGAAGATGTATCTTATGACTTTGTTCTTATAGATCAAATTTAAAGACATTTATAGACATATCTATAAAATAAATAATAACATTTCTTGTTGATATATCTATGAATATGAATANTTCTCAGCTTTGAAGCCTACCTCATTTATTCGCCTAGTCTAAGGAAAATCAGCGAATGCAGACTAAAACACGAAGATTTTTCCATCATCACAAATGCATAAATCTAAAAGTATCGCAACGCTATCAAAGAGTGCAAATAGACCATTATCTAATTCAATCGATTCTACTCAGTCAGCAGGGTTGATTCATTTGTGAGATGATTAGAATAAAAGATGTTTTTGCGTTTTTTTCTTTGTGATTATAGAATCTTCAAAAGTAAGAAAAGCTTATTCATGTCGAGATGAAAATCCAATAATTTCACCCTCAAAATTTCTATGATCGCGTATGTATTAGACATGATACTATGCCATATCGCAAGATGTGTTTTATTCTTCAACTAGCTGATTTCGTGCCTTACATATTGGGTATATCATGGGCGGACATATTTCTTGCGTGGCCATCGACAATGGATAGCAAACAGGAAGATTATGACAATCTGGATGATTCACACATATATGAGCAGGTTGATAACATGTATTGCTTGGAGTTGCGCACAACACCAGTCGAGAACAAGGGGCATTCAAGGACACACAAATACCAGAACTGAAAGAAGGTGCAAAGTGTAAACAGCTGCAAGCCGGGTTCGTCGAGCAAATGTCATATTGAGATATGTTATAACATGCTGGCGACACACCGCACGCTAGTTGCAGATAAAATTAGTTTTTTGAAACGTGTACAAAATATCGCGATCATACCTGTGATGCTAAAAAGAGAAGTTTTTCAAAATAGCACAATGAACCAAAGAAAAACATGTCCCGATTACCTGAGAATGAGGAACACGAAGCGTTGTACCGCCATCATTTCTAATGTGATTTAAATATGTGAAATCAGACAATTGCTAAAAATGTTTTATTTACCGCATCTGCTCTTTTTCTCACTTAAATTGGTTAGGATTCTGCTGCTGGCGTATGCACAGAAGCTACACGCAGCGTTTTACATCGTTTAAAGAATAAGGTGAGGCAATGAGAGACAAAATTAGTGATTTTCACTTGCGTAGCAAAGCAGGTCGCTTCTTGTAGCACCAATAAGAGGAGAAAATCGTGTAGAGGGTATCTAGTGAGAAAACGGATCCGAGATTCGAAACAGGGCGTGAGTGTGGGTATGATGTTTGTTTATGGGGTATGGACGGGCTATTATTTATGTTCTAGTAACACCCATACGAACATCTACACACCCACACCCACGCCCTCGTACGTGCGCGAACATAATAGTTATCACTTTCGTCAAGTCAACGTAGTTTATTTCAAGCAAAGAAAAAACACAATCCATCGTTTTGAGTCTATTCGATCGAAAAGCGTTGAACGCGATGATTCCCAAATTCAACGATGTAGAGATTGCCATGTCGATCGAAGGACAAACCTCTGAGAGAGTTGAACTGATTTGGTCCTCTTCCTTCACCATTTCCACCCAGAATGACAGTGCCCTGTGTCGCTCCTTTAGGCCAACGGATCACTCTATGATTCCACGAGTCGGCCACATAGAGAGTACCCAACATATCGACGAAGAGTCCTCGAGGATACGATAATTGTGTCAGAGCATTTCCTTTACCTTGACCTCCCGCGACAACAATTCCTTCTTTTGCACCTTCATTCCATTTCATCACACGATGATTGTTGTTATCTGACACATAGATAGTCTGTTGCTGATCGACAAATAGGTAGGTTGGCCAGTTAAGCTGATTGAGACCATCACCTTGGCCATTACCACCAGCCACGAGAGTTCCATTCTTGTCTCCTATTCGATATCGTCTTACTTCGTGTTTGCTGGTATCAGAAACATACAGATATCTCTGATCATCTATGGCCAGTCCCCAACATTTGATGTTGTCGACGAGGATTTCTCCTTGAGTTGTGCCACTACGACAAGACCATCGTACGACTCGTCCATTTCCCCAATCACAGATAATGATACTATCGGTTTCTTTGTCGGTCAGCACATCGGTTGGATAATATAATTGATGCAATTGATTTCCATTGCAATGGCCGCCAGCTACTATCTTTCCACTCGTATCATCCATCTTCCACTGAATGATACGATGATTCGAGCTGTCAGCAATAATCATTGTTTGATCATCATCAATGAAGAGACCTTCAGGGCTCCAGAGTCGATTGATGGCGTTGCTTTTTTCATTACCTCCAGCGACGGTCACTCCATTCTGTGTCCATCGAGCATTGACTGGAATTTTGGGAATTACTACAATGAATGAGGAAAAAAGGAATCATCATCGTCGTTTTCTACGAATAAGGGTTCTCCCGCACAGATATAAATTGGAAAACCTTTTTCTAGTTTCCTATGCAAAAAAAGAACTTCATAACGTTCCTTATGAGAATTCGTTTATGCAGGGACTCATTTTAGATTTTGCCAAGATCTTTGAAACTCCTGCAAAAATGTTTTTTAGGAAGACGCATTTCTGAAAATCTGAGAAGATTAATACTAATCCTATATAAGCTCTTGATAAGCAAGCATAAGATCTTTCCATCATTTTTATATCGAACTACAAACAAGGTGTATCAGGGTTTTGTAAGGAAGATGTCAACAATGAGAATTTCGACTGCTTGAAAACATTTTACTTGCTTACAGAAAATTCTTAATCACATGATTTTCTGAAAGGTAAATTGGAATCTGCCGAAGAGTGTCGTAAGCATTCACATAAACGATAGAGGTGTGATTCTATTAGATTTTTTCTAACCTATATCAAGCTGTTTAAAAGATGACCGTGATGTAGTTTTAGTGAGATCATGCCTGCTTTTGAAACACTGATAAGACTAATGCTAATCGACTCCAAGTTCTTCATAGACAAACATAAGAATTTAGTTAGCTTTCTAGAAGTACCAGATGACGACTTCTTTCGTCATAGGGAAAAGAAAGTCTTATTCGGAGAGGTGGGAAAATTCTGGTAAGCTATTATCAGGCTTTTGGAGAAGATCTGCTGCAACTGCACAATGTCCTAATTTGAAACTAAAAAATGCTCAGATTTGATCTTTTTACAAGAATCTCAGAACGAAGGATATTTGAAGCATTGCAATTAAATGCGCAACCTATTTCGTATTTATTTGGGAATTCTAAGGAATGGCTATGAATGTGAGTGAGTATCAATGTTTCTGTCCTTCACTCTTATCTACATCCACACTAATACTCACGCACATCTTATAAGTTATTTGTTGCAATAATGTAACAAGATTGACATAAGCGTCGTTCGGAAGTCACGTGGTCACAACATTTTCAATAGCACTGAAAACAATTTCCAAAAATACATGATCCATCAATTATCTTCTTCTCATATTCAGAGAACCAAAATAGTCTACGAACTCCAGAAACGGAAGAAAGAGATGAATGAAAAGAATCTGAGGAACTTGACGAACCATAGAAATTCAAAGCACGTCAGCGAAGTCTAGGAACTCATAGAAACAGACTACGTTATTACTAAAATCTAGATGGAACAGAGTTAAATAGGAAACAGATGCTGATTAGTTCCAATCAACAACTAAAATCTGTATACACTTTTATATGTACCATATGAATATATTATCGCTGTACCGAGACGCTCCAGAACTAATGTAATCCATTGGTACAGGTGTACTGATTTCTACTGATAGATTATTTTGTTCGAGCTTCTTTCGCTGCACAATCAAAAAAGTAAGTATAAGTAACAACACTAGCTCTGTTTATATAACTTTAAAAAAGGCTAATCATCATGTTATGTTCGTGGTAAAATATCGTCAATCTACAAGAACAAGATAGTCTTTCAAAAAACTAATCCAAAAGCCTTTTCTTAACGGAATGATAGTTATGAGAATTCTCTTAGTCGTCACCTTTAGAAAAGAAATATCTTATTTATAACCGAATGACAATAGAAAGATAGCAAAATCATGTCTTGTTTCTGATTTTTACTTGGTTTTCAATCAGATTATGAGTTTCAAATAATTCCACTCTAAAACAATGATATTTTCTTAGATGTTTTTTGGAGCGGAAGAGGCTGATATTCACAGCACATGTACTCAGAGTTTGAGCTATGTAGGGTATCGTTATTCCAGAGATACAAGTGATGTAAAATGAATGAAATGTTTCGAATAATTTTTGAAATAATGGCTGAGATAGAAGGCTCAAATTCTAGTATAGAGTAGATCTAAACAGCTAGTAGATATGCTGTACATATACGCCTCTTTCACTCTAGAAACATGTAAGAAAAGATTATTATTTTAGCCGATTAAAATTTATTTGACACTCTTTATGAAAGAAACAATTACTAAACAGAAAATAGAGTTATGGATCAAACTCCGATAGAAGACAGTCGGTTTTCAGTAGTCATAGACTTCTTTTTCCACACTTTCATCTTCAATTGGTCATGATTCATCAAAATAAAGCAAAAATAGAAATGAATTACCTCGAACTTGAATAGGTTTTTCAATTATTTCGACCAGATCAGAGCTATTGGGTCGGTCGTTTGGATTTTGTGCCCAACATTTCTTGATAAGCTCACGAAAAACCGATGGTGTACTTTCTGGTATCTTCAAACGGTCACCAGCAAGCACAGATGCACGAATGACATCATCTGGATACTCATAATAAGGTATTTCATATGTAGCCAGTTCCCAAAAAACTACTCCCAAACTATAGATATCACTCTTATCTGTATGACGTTCCAAACGTAATATTTCAGGAGCAGTCCATGGTAGTGTACAAGTCAGTGTAGAATCGGATTTTGATTGACGTGTCGTTTCGTTTCGTGTACGAGCCAAACCAAAATCACATACTTTGACAGTATATCCTTCATAAGCTCTTTCTATCAAGAAATTCAACGATTTTATGTCACGATGTAAGAGAGGTTCTGGTAATTGATGTAAATAATTGATTCCGTTAGATGTTTGAAAAGCAATGGATAATCGTTCAGGCCATGTTAATACTAAATTATCTTCGTGTAATAGTTTGTACAATGATCCTAATGACATGTATTCCATAACCAATCCATATTTCCCTGTTTCCGTGCATGCGCCATAAAAACTGATGATGTTAGGACAACGAATATTGTCCATTAATGAAAGCTCTTTGAAGAACTCTTGCTCAGCTCTACCGGTCAAATGGGTCAGACGCAACTTTTTGACAGCAACTGTGTAACGTCTACTTTTCCACGTAGCTCTGTGCACTGTGCCAAAGCCTCCGGCACCAATCTCCTCATGTAGTTCGAGGTCATTGTCGGCTATTTGAATAAAGTCATGTGATTTATCTAAATGTGAAAAACATATGCCAGAAACTGTCGATGTCAAAACCTGAACTCATAGTGAAAAAGAAATATTATCGTTGTGATATAATGTTGTTTGAAAAACTAACTGTTCTGTCAAGGTTAACAATTTGAATATATTTCTAAAAATTTCTAGGAAATTTTCAAGTCTCATGTTCAACTGACGTTTCAACTTTTCAAAAATATTTTTTTATAATAATCCATTATTCTCCAGATAATGTGTACATTGTTGAGATTTAGTCAAAATGCTCTAGTACTGTAGGGAAACCGATTGTTCTAAACGCTTCCGAGACATAGAAATGAGTTTAGAGGTAGTCTCATCTTTCCTATACCTGAAAATAGAGCTTTTACGACTTTGGTTTTCCCATTGTTGGTGCATCCGCGAAGTGCTCTCTACTAAATGCCTAACAGAAAAGAGTTTATGGCTACTCGAAAATGCAGGTATAGGTGTTGGTAAAAGAGTGGAACACAGCGACGTTCACATAGTAGAAGATTAATGCTCATACCCTTCCGAAAAGATTGTTTTTTATGTTGTAGTGTTGCTGAATAGTGATTGATCATAGTTCATGAAACCTACAAATAACTCCTGATCGTCTTACCTTTATTGATACTATCAAAATCTGCAGTTTGCTCTCTGAGCTTGAGTGATTTTTTGCGCCACTGTACACTCTTGTCGTAGTCACCTTGCAATGAAGCGATTAGACTGAGATCTGCATACAAACTGCGAAGTGAAGGATCATTCGGTGAAATTTCTTCTAGCAAACGATTGTAGTACTGTTCAGCCAGATCAAGTTTGCCCATCGTCCATAATAACTTGCCCAACGCCCGCAGACTCGTTTCTCCAGTACCATTTTGCTTCTTCATGTCGGTAAGAACTTCTTTCAAATTGTGTTCATCATCACCACACAAAGACATTCCTATTATCCACACTTTATCACCATCTTGATAAGCAGAGTTGAGATGGAAAATCGAACCAAGCATAAAGAGTACCTCGGATTCATCAGCAAAATGGCTAAAGGTACTAATGTCAGCAAATGGTTTTGCCGAGATCACCTTCGGATTAGCATCAATCACGAATAGAACTCGTTGTAAATTGATCTGTTGAGTCTTATCACCAATATAGAAATCAGCTATTAAGCGCTGCTTACTGGTGGAAAGAAATGAATTTACAGAAACGAATTGGCCAATGTTTTGTTTGAGATAATCTAGCTCATCAATTGACATCAATTGACTTCGATAAACTCGAATAGAGCGCTGCAATTGATAATGTTGCAACTGGCGATATATATCGGCAATGAAGGAACGATACAAGAAAATCATGTGAATATTTTGCTTGCGTAGAGCGGCATTTAGAGTCTTGTAGAAGAATGATTCACGAGTATACCACCACAAAGCCATATCGGATGTGTAACTATTTTCAAATTCACGCAGATTGTCAAGTTCAACACGATTGCCTTTGTATTCATTCTCACAATAAGAAATGAGTTCTTTTTTGTCCTTCTCGTTTGGTTTCAATCGAAGAAGACAATCGATAAGTGATTGAGAAAAGGCGAACAGACCATTGATTCCTGTTGTAGACTTCCCTGCATCAACACTTGTAGTGAACATGTTGATTGACAGTGGTTCGTGCATCTTCATCTGTTTCTTATGATCTATTTTAATTTGATAAATCAATTCTTCCGGTTCAGCAACAATAACCTTCACCTAAATCGACGGAATAAAACGATTGAAACTTTTCCGAGCAATTTTACCTTGACGAACTCGTATGTCCATTGTTCATCGCTTTTCTTGTCTGTGGAAGTAACATAGATTGTTGAGACCTGTCGAAGTTTATGAATCGAAGGCACCACTTGCCGACTCAGCTGACTACTAACAATGAGCACTAGTCTATCATGTTTTGGTCTTTGCTGTATATAATGTTTACACTCGTCTACATCTTGAAATGTCTTGAGATGATTGATGATATGACGCAATCTTTGTTGCATATATTGGTTCTCTTCGTGGTGAACGTTTGTGTCAAGCCAAATAAGACTGAATATTTCAAGATGATCGTCATTGTCATTGGTAAGAGAATCAACAGAAGATAGGTCAACCGTGGTCATCTAGGTAACTAGAAACAACGTAATCGCAGCTCTTCAAAAATTTGTCTATATTGATATGAATACCTCTCGTCTGGAAGTTATTCCTTTCAACAAGAGTATGAATAAAACGCATTTGTGTAAGCGACAACACTTGTATTCTCTACGATGAGCCTGCCCAACATTCCTAGCTACACTGCTGGTCCAGTCTTATTCTTGTATTTGATAGTATTGATACAAGCTTTTTTCCAATAAAGTTGGGTGAACCTGTCACTGTGGCTTGAGAGAAGATCAGTGCAAATCCTCAACCACATTTCACACTCCCAACCTCAATTTCAAACTTATCATGCGCATTCTCATCAACACGAAGTCTTACTATTTTGTTGTCAATACCTTTACACATTTTGTTATTAGAAATTTAATTACACTATACTAATAGTTAAGCTCTCGTCTATTGATGAACTAAACATGATGTATAGCATTACCAAAAAAACAAGCAAACTAATTATGTAGGATACAGACACCATCAATGAATTGATGCTTATTAAAACAATAAATAAGCTTGAGCTAGACACAGCAAAGTGAATTCAAGAAGTCTGCTAACTAACAAACATTTATCAATTGACCGTCTAAAAGAAAAGTCGATCATCGAGATCAGTTTCATACTTGTCTCAATCATGTATGAATGTGTAGATCATATTTGCACTATGTATGCATTATTTAACAGACTTGTTTCTGATTTTGTTATTATTGACATAAGCTACTCACCATTACGGAATCAATAAAACTCAGTAAGGGGGAACATTTTTTTGTTGTGGGTCTACTGATTATATTTTATGTTGTGATGTAACAATGTTTGCTTGTTCTGTCGATTGATTCGTGTTTTATCTTCGGAATAAGAGGGCTTTTTCCCCTACCTACTATACGTTATTTTACGTATTTTTCTTTCTTTTTTTTTTTTACTTTTTCTTACTATATACTCTATTGCAAATGGACTTACGTAACATGTGCACAGAAAGTTGCACATAACGAAACCTGTGCATGAAACGGCATGCTTCATTGGTTTACACACAGTGAGTCTTGTACATGAAATAAAAGCGAACCAAATTTATACCTGAAAAAATATTGAAAAGCAAAAGAAAGCAGAAAAGATTAAATTGTTTTTTATTTTAAAACTTGCAATATGTTAAATTCATATATACTATAAACAAAAGTATCGAAAAACAAATATCACTAATTATTCTCATATGCAGTTTATATCGAAATATTACAACGCTATATACTCATTTTTATATACCTCGAATGTTTTGTAGTTTAAAAAAATTCTTTTAACAATACTATGACATGAAAACAATCGAATGCTTAATAACGACGATATTCTATTAAGAGTATACGATAAAAACACACTTCCTTATAAATTAACATGCTAATATACTCAAAAAGATTACATTGTGCGAACTGCATGAAATACAAATAATCTAAACGGTATATTATAATGAGAGGATCTAAACAAACCTTCCAAGTCTGCCAGCACAAGAATAGTATTGGTGTTGATAGCTACTAACGTTTTTCGATAGTTCTTGGTAGCATATTCTAGATTATAAGAGAAATTTTAATAAGGGAATCGGTGAGTGTTATTGTCAACTTTTTCATCATCCACTGACATACTACACCAAGAAACCTATTACATTTACAAAAATTCCCATTGATGTAAAATCACATGAAAGAAATATGACTGTTGTTGAGGCTAATGCATTAAGAAATTCGTCTGAATAACAACATGCTCATACAATTATTTGTAGTCGCCAACAGAAGAAGAAAATATATGAAGTTAATGAGGAAAATAAATAAAATTAAGTGTTTCAACTCTCTTTCAAGCAAGAAAAGTACATTTTTCCAATTCATTGGTTCATTACCTAATACACTGTGTTAAACAACACAAAATGCACCACAAGATGCAGTATCAAAAGCTTTACAATCTACAAAGAACAGCTTATTTTATTTATGCACCTGTGGTATTCAAAATAGACGAAATTCTGTAAGACTAATTTTTGACACTACGAAAAAGATCATTTTTCGGCATACGATGAACTCCTTTTCTTATGTCATCAATTAATGAATCATTCTTTTTAACGTTGTTCCATTGCTCGACCATCAATTACTTCTTTCAACACAACTCATTAACCAAAACAATAAGAAAAAGGAATTGATTGTGTATCAAAAAATGATCTTTTCGATAGCGTCAAAAATTAGTCTTACACAATTTCGTCTATTTTGAACACAACAAGTGCGTATATAAAATAAGCTGCTATTTGTAAATAAACTGTAGATCTTTTCACGCTGCATCTGGTGATGTATTTTGTTTTTTAAACACAGCGTATTAGGTAATAAGCAAATGAATTGGAAACAGGTACTTTTTTGTCCGAGGGAGATTTTATGACTTCTCTACAAAACGAAACATTGTATGGTCTTTTGCAATAAATTCTTTCAAAGTGTATATTGTCGATAAGAATAATGTGCTAAGTATCTATTTTTTCCTTCTATTAAGTAATCGTGTCAGTAGAATGCGTCAAAGGGTAAGGTCAAATGATAGATTAATGTCTTTCATATTAACATGTTTTGAGTTAGTAAGGAGAGAAATGTTTATATAGTAGAATTTAAGAAATAATGGTATGGATGTCAACAATAGTATTGCTCCTATTCTATTTCTACCTATTTTCAATAGTCAGAGTTTTGACGAAAACAGCTCTTTTGATAAAAAATCGATTTTGAAACATATGAAGTTTATGTCTATTGAGCAGTATGTGAACAAAATTAGTGATAAACATTATTTAAAACATTCTGTTTGTATTGTACCGATCTATACATTGATTTTCCTAGTTCTGATAAACGAAGTATTTTTCTTCATCCTTGTGTGAAGATTTTTGAATATACATCAAGCTATTTAAAAGAAGCTGACACTACTTCTACTAGCGACTACTTTTACAATTCTTGTTTCATATTAAGATTTGCTTAGTAGACTATTCTTCTTATACTATTCTTCTCAACAAATTATTGAAACCATTTTATTGAAACCTGATTAGATTCGTATATCACTGTCGGATATAGTTGTATGCAAATTTAAATTAGAAGTATATATGACCTCTTGTAGAGTGTCTTTTTTTGAATGAGTGACCCTCGTTCTTTCTGCAGCATATTCCACAGTTGATTCAAAATCAATCAGCAATATAGATATCCGTTTATATACTGTAACTAGCGAATGGAACTTATTTGAATAATTACGAAAGGATTTCGAACTTGTTTCTTTCAGCATACAACACAATAGATGTGTTGTTACAACTTGAAAGGATAATGATATCCATTTAGAAAAACTGCCAACAAAGTATAAAAACAAATCGATAATACAATTGTGTTCTTTAATTTAGTTAAAATTTGTTAAGAGAGATGGAATTATGAAATGAAAATAGATACAATTTTCAATATTAAATTTTCTTTCTTTTCAACATATCATGAAAACAAATAATACAAATGTTTTACCCAAGTGTTTCAAAGAATATTAAATGTTCAAATTATATTGATAAATTACTAAAAAAACACCGAATACATGTTCAATAAGGAAGCGTTAGATTTGTACTGTTATTGCATTTCAGAGGCTGTCACAGAGCACTTTTTTTGCCCTGCCATGTTCTGCTTTCAGAGAATGTAAACTAAGGTCAACTATGGAATGGGTTGGTAACATAACGAAAAATTTCTATCATGTCTATTAAGTGCTCATTCCTTCTTTATATAATTTCAAAAGAATATTGCCCATCTATAAAAACAATCATAAACCTGTTATAAATCGATTAAAATTGTACAGTTTTCATTCAGTTATAATCTAATTTTAAGCCTCTATTAAGGTTTTTTCTAAAGTTTAGGATTTTTTTTCTAATTTCTTTTACCAATTCTAGTTATTTAAGCTAATATTTCGTTGTTCCTTATGATCATTTTCAATATGCTTAATGTATTGTTATCAATCCTTTTGTAATGGTTAAAGATGTTTATATTAGTAACAAAATACATCTCTCTCAATAACTGACTTACCGTAATAATAAGAAAACCTTTTGAATATGTTTTGTACTCTGTAGTCATTTTTGTAATTTGGTTTTTTCTAGCATCGATCAGAGATGTCTATGGTGACGCCACAGCGACGTGGCAGCGGCAAGTTTTGAAAAAACAAGTCTTTTTTTATTACTTCAGAAATTTGAGGTAGTTAGAGAATGCTCGATTTTGATATTTACGAGGGAACATATTCAACTGTTGGATGCCGTTCGAATCCATATTTTGGCTATGAGTAGGACACAGTAAGACGAGGAAAACCCTAAAAGGGTTTGAACTCATCGAGTGTCTGAACACAGACCTAATTACCACATAAGTGTAAGAAAATAGAATTTATCGCTCCTCAATTTTTCTTCTTTACTCTGAGAAATTAAGATAGGATATTTTTAACATAAAATTTTCATTTGATAGATAAGGCTGGGTCATATTTAGTCAAAAACACCTTCAATCAATCTCGAAACAACGTTGATCTAAGTCTATCATGTAATGTAATAATAAATGTAAATCTTTTCTTTTTTGTCTTATACAGATTAGCGCAGCAAGAAAAACATAAGCTAATGGAAATGATATTCTGTAAAGAAATGATCGAAACAAAGAACGCATTGGCACTAAGAGCACGAGATGAAAGGAAGACAAGTACAATTAGAGATTTGACAATAAGGAGAAATAACTATGAAATAAACATCCTTCACAGTTAGAAAAAGACCTGGATCCGTCACTGTATAATTGCGAGCATACCAAACATATATGATTAATCCATAAAAAATTCGAGCCCTCATTTAAGAATAATAAAGAGAAACTAGTTTGATGATGCTGTTTCTATCGCTTATCAAAATCGGTAATTAATCTAGATTAATAGGATCGTAAACGTTTCCAAATATAGATTTCATTTACCGATTAAAAAAATGTCTAATGGCTGAATCTTGTCCATCGTATTTTTCGAAATCTCTAACCAAAAATATCCTTGATATTTTTTGTAAATGGAATTATCACGTTGCCCATTTCATGCATCTGACAATAATAGAAATTTGTTGGGAATGTGAGGCAGAAGAACATGTTCAAGCCATAAGGATCGTGTGTAGAAGGCAATTTTCCTGATTTCGAACAGAAAAGAACAATATTTCTCGCTTTGAAAATCTTCTCTTGTACAACTGATAGAAAAATATATCGAAGAGAAGGTAGAATAAAAGAGAAAAAAAAATGCTTACAGTCATTGATCTTTCCGGCATGTTCCTGTAAACACAGAAATAATAGGTCCAACTATTTGTCCATGTTCGACTTGATGGATGTTCATGATGTGATAGGGAGCGAAAACGTGACTTGTAACATGTAATCGAACTTGTTTCAAAAATTGTACGGCCGATTCGACAATATTAGTTTCATTTTCTACTGCATGTTTGGTAATGAGTTTCGTAATTTTTTTAAGAAACAATGTCATGTTACTTTTTAAACGAGTGAACTCAATGAGTAGCAGCTAAAAAACTGGTGAGTGAAAGTTCTTGGCCTTCCTGTCGTGAATAGCAATTGATTTAGCTCGAGCATTCCTAACGAGAGAAAAAACAAAAGAATCAATACTGTCTAGTTTTGTTGTTTACTGCCGTTTTGATCAATATATTTACGAAAGCGAATAAGTTGAATCTGCAATCTTCTTGAATCGATGATTGACAGATTGCCACGAATGTTTTCGATTGCCTTTCTCGTCTATTTCTTCATATAATCGAGAGAAATGTGATTGGGAATAGATTTATCAACTTGATCTTTAGAAAATATTGTGTCGACTTTTTCATCTGTCACACTATTCGTCGATGCATCGTTGGATGAATAACTTGACATATCTCCATAAGCTAATGTATTCCGTTAGATTGTTCGTTGAGTTGAAAATCAGCCACTTTAGTAATTCAGGTTGCCAAAGGACATACGACAGAGTTGGCCGAGGTTATGTTTGGAACAAAATATGAGAAAATGTTTAAGTCGGTTAGTATAATATGCATTACAGTTAACCCTCGCATATGGTCCTCAATCAAAGAGAAGAATATATTCTTCACTTTATTTTCCTTCCTGTATAAAAATATTGCAGCAAGACTTGAATGAAAGTTATATATTTCGAGATCGATTAGACCGTTGTAAGTGAATATGATTCAACTTTGTGCATTAAATAAAACTCCCATGTTAAAAATTCTAGATCTTAATTTCTAAGAGTAAAGAAAAAAATCGAGGAAATAGTGAAAAATCCCATTTTTTCATATATGTAGTAATCAGATTACTATCCAGATACACTATGGATCCGAATCTTTTTTTGGGACTTTCTTCATCTCACTGAGTCATACTCATAGTCAAAATATGAACTCTAACGGCGTTGGACAGACCTTATCCGGCAGGATAAAATACTCTGCATATCCCTAAACTGGAAGAACGTAGTAATACAAAACATCACTTTTTATCGGATGTACTTAATGGATACAACCTACCCTCAATGTTCAAAATTTCATTTTCTCTACACGAAGAAAAAAATCGTCAGACGCTTAATAGAACTACTACCAGTAATTAACTTGATTTAATTCTTTATAGTACTCAACAAAAAATTACTTAACTTCAGTTCATCTTATGATGTGCCCAGTCAACTACCCGTATCATCTGGTTCTTTCTATTCAATCCAATTAGCAAAATAATATAAAATCAATAACTAATACTGTATTCGTGTCATCTCAAGTTCTCAGTCAATCTTTTATTTCACAAATTCAACCTATACAACAAATATTGAACGCTTCTTCATTTGATAGTTGATAGAAAACAAAAGGCATGCAAACAATCAATTCACATTTTTAAGTTTTTTTCTTTTATTGATCACATTAAAGGTATACAGATATATATATAGAAAAAAAATCAAATTTTTCTTTTCTACTAAACGATAACTATAGAAAAATACAATGGAAGAAAAAGAGAGTAAAGAACTAAGAAAATGTTTGAGAATGATATTTCAATCTCAAAACTGGTGTTCATTTAAGATATTTTTTGGTATTTCAATACCTAAACGATGAAGTGTTTGTTGAAGACTTTCACCTTAAACAAAGAAAAGAAATGTTCATGATAACTAATTTTAATTTTATATAAATACCTGAATTCATATAGAAAGGTGTAACATTTTCTTCAACGAAAACATCATCATCTTGAATATTTTCAATAGATGTTGGAATAATTTCTTTTTCTTCATGTTCATCCTTATCATTACTTTCTTCTTGCTCATGTTCATCAGTTGCTTTTATTGTTGTTTCATAATCTGTACCTATAGCAATACTATGAGTTGTTGATGTCAGAAATGACGCTGGCGGGTCCTAAACATAATAAATATATTATGAAAATCAAAAATTTTCATTAAAAGCAAAACAAATAGTTATTTTACAAGATCTTCAACAACTCCAACAGCTCGAGCTTGTTCAACAACAGCAGCTGGTTCAACTAATTGTTCCCCAAAACGATTTGTATATGCTTGAGGATCTTCACGAATAACGCTTTGTTTTTGAAAATGACGTTCAATCTTTGCATGAACAGGTTCATAACTATATAAAGTAAAAAAATATAAAAGAAGAACAATCTTTTCAAAGAAATCATAGGTACGTTATTATAACATTTTTTGGTTGTGGATAATCTTTAGAAGTTTTTTGAACGCGTTCTACAACAACTTTACGTTTTTGATTGATTATTTCATATGGTAACCAACGTTCAATAATAATATCCCGTGGTTTAGGTGGTAATGGTGGTAAACGTTCTATAATTACAGCTCGCGGCGGAGTTGGATCAGGTGGTAAATGTCTTTGAGAAAAAAAGAAAGTTTTGTTTGTTTTTTTTTTGTCAAAGTAAATGTATATATACATTTAATTTACCGAGTTATCACTTTTGTTGCCAGAGTTGATGGAAGTGGTGGTGGTTTTTCACGAATAATAAGTGGTGGTGGAGTTTTTGGTGGTGTTGGACGTTCTAAAGAAAAGAAATAAATATATAAGAAAAATGAAGAAATTGTTTTTACGTTTAATAACCAAAGGTGGTAATGGTGGTTGTTGTTGAGGACTTATCTAAAGATAAAAAAATAAAAACAAAAACGATTGATTGATGATTGTTTTAATTAAATCGACTTCTTTGATAACAAGTGGACCAGCATTTGGAATCGGTGGTGGTTGCAAAAAACGAACAATTATATTTTGTTTATATGTTACCGAATTTGAACCTTTACGTTGAATTATTTGAGGATTTGGATCATAAAAAATTCGACCAGCTGAAGCTAAAATTTAATAAAAATGATAAAATACATAAAAAAACATTCAAATGAAAATACTTCTTTACATATATGAGGTGGTGGATCAATTTCATCATTATTATTATTTGGTGGTAAGGAATTATTATCATCTTTATCAGCTAATAAATCAATCGATGCTGTTGCTATATCAGTTGTTTCATTTGGTATAGCTTCATCAATTGTTTCACCAACATTGACAGCCATTGAATCTAATTGTGGTGATGTACGTAAATTTAAACCAAGATTCGGTACAGCTGATGTTAATTTTGGTGGTATTGTTGGATATTCTTGATGACGATGATGATCTAATAATATATCATTATTTGTTGATGAAACACTTGATGCTCTACGTATTGGTTTAATTGTATTATTATTGTTGTTATTATTATTATGATTATTATTACTAGGATTTAATATATCATTTTTATAATTTTCATATGGTGACATGATACTTTGTGGCATTGTATTATAAAAACCTGAACTATAAAGATCAAAATTATTTGGTGTAGCTATTGGTACAATAGATTCCAATGAATTTAAGTCAAGATTTTGATCAAAATTTGATACACCATCAATGGCAAACATATCCGGTGTTGGATAAAAAAGTGGTGCTTGCTGTTGTTGAGTGTAGAAATTATTGATTTTTGATGGATTAATTTGTGTCATTGGCTTTGGTGATTCAGATATGTAATTACCAGCGAGACCAAAGACTCCACCACTAGCTGCTTTATTAACTTCATTGAGTATACGTTGAATTGTTGGATCTTCAAGTAATGCCATGATTAAAGTCGATTGATCGAATGATGGTTATGATGAGAAAATGACGCGTGTAATAATTTTTATAACGTACTTTTTTTCTTGACGATATCTCTCACACACAAAAGTGAACTGATGTGAATATATTTGTATGCAATGTTCAACGTTCAAATGACTAATCATTGGACCGTGGTAAATGCATGCTCGATGCAAAGGTGAGAAACTTCTTCCTTACGTCGTCCATTAATGGGCAATGGTCCACGCCTATCGTCAATTCACAATATATTTTTTTTCAATCATAAATGAGAGTAGTAAGCGTATCTTTTTTCCTTTTTTTCTTTCGAGTCAATCTAATGATAAGTAACATTAACCTAGGCTTTTTCGCATTCATCTATAAATTGTGTTGTCAGGTCCGATTTATCATATTGAGTTTGAATTCGAAGAATGTATCATATATATAAATGTGACATATACACATGAAAAGACAACTAAATAGTTGTTTTATTTTAGTTCTCACATGAAAAAAATATAACATAATCGAAATACACAATCTATTGAAAATAAAAAGATTACTTGTATCTGACTTGTTCATTTTTAAATGCACAAAATGTTGTACAAAAAAAAAACAAAGATTGAACAAATAAATTGATGTAAAAGATAATTTATGTTTATCAAAATTGAATACTTGCTGTGTTAGACAATTAAATAGAAATTTCAATGCAATCTTTTATCTTAAATATCAAACATTAATAAAAAATTCGATTTGTATGATTTCATAATCCTTTTTACTACACATCTCAAGTAATGAATTTATTATGTCATAAAATGATTTTTAACGATAATTGCAATTTGAATATCAATGATTACGATTGAATAATATTACTATACTCTTTCGAACAATCACTATTGAAGAATTGTAGAACGAGTTAAAGCATAGAAAATATATTAATAATTTTAACAATGAGGAATTTTAGACAAATTCTGATTGAATCATTTTCGTCTTTTCATCGTAGAGAGAAACAAAAAAATGTAGTAAATCTTGTTCTTATGAAATACACAGAAAGTGAAAGGACTTTTTCACATGTTAAAACAAAAATTGATTAACTGTATCTCTCATTATTAAACAATTAAACTAGAATGGAGATGATTGATCGATACAATCTAAAATAGTGTAATTTACTATTCGATTTGATTTTTTTCTAATTTAAATCAAAGTCAAAAGATTGAATATATCATAATTTATTTACACGTTCAAAAATAATCTGAGTTTCATGTACTCAAACTTAACAATTAGTTCTTATAACTATACTCGGGATTATTTTAATTGCTTCTTATTTTCAATCAAGATAATAGAATAATAGCATTATGTAGAATATTTCTGATCTGGGCTATTATTTATTGTTGATTTTAATGAGAAATATATTTATCTCAGATTGAACTGATGTTTTTCATCTTTATGCTGATATATTCATAAAGAACGTCTTGTTTGTCAAACTATTTGAATTTATCATAGACCAATAGATGATGATGATATGAAGAAAAATGAATTGAAACATCAAAAAGTACTGACGTAATTTTAGATTCGAAACTTGATACATATTTATACCTGTTTTTTATTATTATTAATCTATTCGGGGTGTGGGTGTGGGTGTGGGTATGGGTGTGGACTTCTTAAAAGGTCACACCTACCCCCACTTCCACACCCACCCACACCGACATCCACACCCACACCCACATCCACACCCACACCCACACTCTAGTTTAGTCATCAAAAAATTGTTTCAATACGGTATAAATAATTTCAGAATGTTAATTTTTATATTAAATTTGATGATTTATGGAAATAAGGCAAATTAATCCAAGTTTATTTTTTAAGTTAAATGAAAAAGAAACTGTGTGTATAGATTTTCTTTTGTAACAGCTTATAACTGGACAATAGATAAGGTCATTGATTGGCTGATTACTAATGCTCATTCACCACAATATGTGGACTGAAGTTTAATTTAAGATTTGCCAGTCAATGAAAAATAATAAATTACAATAGTAATCCATGTTCGAGATGTATGCGATCAACAACGTCTTATTATTACTATAATTGATAGTGTCTAATTCGAACTTTTAGAACATATGCAATCAGATTATATTTTATGTTTAATTTTGACTTATTAATATCTATTGAAGCTTTTCATTTGATCATTTGTTTATATCTGTGATAAAAAGTAGTTAGCGTCAAGCACAAAATATAGGAATATAATATTAGAAGAATTTGAACAATTACAACAAGCAGAAGATAATTTTCTAAGCTATTACTGGAAAATAAGTTTTTAACTGATATAAAGTGTATAACTTTTTACATAATCTCATTTCTTAGAAATGATCCTAGTCATCATATCACACATTTTATATATTGATCGTTTAACAAATCTTCTCACCACCATATCGCTGAATAATTTATAAACCTTTATTTTCATCATTATAGTTGCCTTGATCATGATTTACTTATTTCAAGCAATTATATATGAACTAAGAAAATTTTATTTCTAAAATAATTCAGTTAAAAATTTTCTTATCCTACATAATTTTCTCAATTCGTTGAAACATTGCAATCGAGAGTGATGCTTAAAACATATTATCGTAGTATGATGAATTTACTAGTCTGAAACTGTGAAACAATACAAAAATGTACTTTTTATTATTATTTTAGTTAAGCATGTTGTGAACTACTATAAAAACTATTTCGACCCCAAAAAAAAATCTTGAATTTGTTTACAAGTGAACTCTGGACTATGATCAATGATAAACGATGGAGCAAAAGTTTTGCATTAATTTTGTTTTTCTTATAGCATTCCAATGCAATATTATAGATACTTTATCGTTTTTTTTTGTTAGAAAGAACAATATGTCTGATGCATAAATCTTATAAAAGAATTCGATCGAAAAGGTTACCCAAAGGCTACAAGAGCCTTAGAAGAAAAAATATCGAGAACTTTTTTGAAGTTTAGAAAAAAAAATCATACAATAAAAATAAAGATTGCCTTTTCATTCGCCTATTCCGAGTTTTTTTAAACATAACAACCGAGTACTATTACTGTCGAAAGAAAAAAAAAACCGAACTATTCTATGTATTTTAGAACAGCTCGTATAAATGCTGTTATAACATTCTCTGGTACCAATGATTGTTTATTAGTAATGATCGCAGTTAAAAAGTGAATTTTACTTCAAGAAAGAAGTAATGAATTATGCATGTAAAAGCTGTTAGCACAATCCCTACGGGATTAAAACGGGAAACACGATATAGTTGTCATTGTCAATGACAAGGAGATTGTTTTATTCTATCTATTTTAGGACGTATTTCTTCATCATCGTTTTGCTTAATTTTTCGAAAATGCAATCAGGAAGAAGTTTGCGTATTATAACGAAATGTTATTGATATATGGAGGGTCCACGAGAGATTGAATGTGTTCCGTTTTACTTTACGGTTTTTCAAGCTACTATGACTTTCACTAATTTTACTCTCTTTACTCCCTGTGGGGGATCGATGTGGATGGAATAGAAATCTCGTCCTTATCCGCATATACACCCACACACTGTTAGGCTTGTATTTGCTGTTGTTAAAGTTGTAGAAGAGATGTGAGTATAGAAAAGTAAAACGAAATAAATTTAATTTCTTGTGGGTCTCTTGATATATGGAACTCTACTGTATTTGGAATAGGACACTGAGAAATTGAAAAAAAACTTTGTTTTTATGCTACGAAAGTCGATTAGAGTTTTTAATTGAACTATTTATTGTTTAGTCTCTTTTACGCTAAATCAATTATTTTATTATTACACAAAAATCTTGGATGTAATGAATAGCTATGCACTTATAATACTAGAATGAAAAAGTTCAAATAAATATATTCCGATAAGAGAATTCTAAAAGAAGTTCTCGATACCTTTTGATCTTTCTAACGAAAAAAAGAATTGTATTTCTATGATATTGGACTGCGACGTTATTCCAAAAAATCACAAAATTTCTGTGAAACTTTTGTCCCATCTGTTCTACAAACTCGAAAAACATCTTTTTTTAATTTAAGACATTAAATTAAATTAGTTTTTGATCAAAAAAAAGAAATTAACATAATATTTAAAATAAATTGTTCAAGTTGATACAGTTTCATTTAGATTATCAAACATATTTAATGCTTTTATAATTAACAGTTTAATATTTTTTGTTGCATCACCAGCATCAGGTAAATAAACTCTGTCAAATTCTGTAGGAAGTTTTGTTTTCGTTTTCGATTTTTCTTCTTGTTCATTTTGTTTTGTTCCGTATCGAAATGTTATTATTTCAGGAAAATTTTTTTTACTTGTTATTTTTGTTATTGTTTCTAATGGACGACGACATACAAGATTTGCCATTGTTTTATGTTCAGGTAATTTTCGTAAAATATATAAATGTGTTGATGAAACCAATAGAAGACTAAAATTAAATACATACAGAAACGTTTCTATGTAACTGAATTTTATTATTGAGAAATGGACACAGTAACATAAAACATGATCATAATTGTTAAATTTTATTGATTTTATTTCGAATTTAGCTGTAGTTTTTGTTCTTATGTCCCATATAATTCTAATCTATTTGAAGGGGAGATGTGATAAACAATTTGAGCCATCATCGTAGCACAAAAATAGATACTCGAGTTTTGAAAATTTTCGGAGATGTTCTTTGAAATTTCAAGAACAAGCAAAAACCACGAGCAGATTTTGATATATATTATCGGCGTTTTTCCTACATAGGTAAGCATCAATTTGATATTGTATCTTGTAGTGTATCAAAGATTGATTTAACACTCTAACTAGCATTTGTTTATCCAACGAAAAACTCGTCATGACGGAATGACTACAGTGCCCGACACGTATCTAGAAGATACTGTCCTCAAACTTCGGTATCACGAGTATTTACTCTTGTGGTTAGCGACGGCAAGAACTCTGCGTCAGTCTTATCTTCTGTGCAGATCAGTGTCCGACACGGGTCACTTTTTTTGTGACCCGACCCGACCCGAGCTCACCAAAATTAGACCCGACCCGACCCGACCCGAGCATGATCTGACCCGACCCGACCCGACCCGAGATGAACTCCTTTTTTCGTAATCCGACCCGATCCGACCCGACCCGATCCGACCCGACCCGAGTCGGACACTGCTGCGTAGTTAATAAAACAAAATTACGTAAAATAANAAAAGATGATTTTGTTTTGCATACTTAGAAAGTTGGTTGAAGAAATTTCAGATAACGTCTAGGAAAATATATATAATATGTAATTCGATGCGTCTTCGTCTCCGCTTTTCAACGGTGAAAACCGCAACTCTGTATCTTGTTTCTAGTAAAAGTTATTCAAAAAATATACACTCGAATTGGTGTAACCGTCACATATGAAAGAAAGGCAGATCTTATTGAAATTTTATTATTATGATATTAGTTGAAGTACGATCAAATAGCATAGAAAGATAGAGCTTTTTTTTCTCTATCAGACTATATAGAAAGAAAGTTATTTAAAGCTTATGATAAGGTATTAAGGTATTACTCTACGAACTTGTGGTATGCCCTAAGTATTTTTGCATTTAATTTTAGAATTAAAATTTAAAAAACACGTACGAGGGAGATTCCTCAACTGTTCCATTGATTTTCAGTCAAGACTGTATGAATCATATAGATTCAAATGAGTTATGAATACTCTGAAAAGAGCTTCATGCGCTTAGTTTATTGCAACAGATACTGGAAGTTTACAGCATTTTATAAATAAATTTCGTGATCCGCTGATGAATACCAGAAAAACTGATATTTCGAATTTCTACTTGAAACTTTGCATAGAGACAAACCTTAACAAGAGTTGTTTCATGTTTTTGGGTTTGCTTCTATCCTGAAATATGAACAGCAAATCTGCTGATTGATATTGCTGGTATATACGATACGGTAAAACAATTAAAGAAATGTTCCCATACTATCGAAACTATGCTTTGTTATAGACTACAATTGAGATTAGACAAAAAAGCTAAAAACTTATTCGTATTCATGGGTCTTTCTTCTTAAGTCATAACTGTTTTAGTGAATTTTTCAACAAAATGCCGTGACCTACTTTCGATCAATTTCAACATCGATTTTTGAATTTGAAATTTGTGCAAATAAGTTTATGTTATATTTATATCTTAGGACTAGAGATGTACGAGACCAAGTGTTTTTCGCCCTCGTTTAGAGAAAATGGCTTAAGAATTTATTTGTATTACATCTAAAAGAATTCTTTAGTACTCGTTCTTCGATTTATTTAGTCAATAATCAGGAATTTTTTTGGCCATCTGCTTTGAATTATGTTCTCATAGGTATGATTTATGAGATAATTTAATTAGTATCATAAAATATTTAATTATGGCTTTTAGTTCCAGTTGGAACTACCTTTTGTTCTGTAGTCCTAGTTCCGATCATCGCGGCCATGACTAAAATTTACTAACCAATTAATTATTAAGTTAAAAAATAATTAGCAAATATCTTTCTAACCATAAGAGAAACAAACTGAAAACTTCAGGATAGATTCTACAGTACAAATCATATCTATAATGAAATTCTCGATAAGATCAAAGTTCAAAAAGTTTCTTCTTAAAAACTAGTTTTCTAGAGATCCTATCAAGTCTCGAAACGTTAATTTTTATCTTTCCATTATCGAGAGACTTCGAAAAGATATTTGCACTGTTCGGAATTAGTTTTGAACCTCTCATTACGACTCAGGAATTGTCTACAGAGTTTTTCATTTAGTTTTTCAAAATACTGCGTCAAATTGAAGTTTTTTTTTTTTAAGCGAACATAGTTCTCTAGCATTGATTTTATCAGGATATCTAGTGTGAATTCACGACGCTAATGAATGATTTGTCCCAGATAAATTTGTCATTGTTAACATCAATTTACTGGAAGAGATCGAAACTTTCAAATCAGCTTTTAGTTTCAGTATGGTCTACTTAATAAATTAAAACTTATTTCAAAAGTTATCTATCATTTGACAAAGTCCCTTCGTACATCAATAAGGGTATTGTTTTCTATGAGAAAAAAAAAACCTTGCGGGAAAATAATTCAATTTCAAAGTTGATTCTTATTTTAATTATACCGGCTTCGATTGAATGTTTTTGTGTAGCAAGAAGAGCATCAACAGTTCCACCAAATTCTTTTGGATCTTCGAGTAACTATAAGCAAAAGAAAAAAAGCATTGTTTTTTTTCGTCTAAATAATACAACAATCAATTTTTATTTTACAAGATTTGAATCAAGATGGAATGCTGTATAAAGATGTCTAGCATTGTATTGTTCAGCTGGCCGACAATCAACAACAAAATATCTGACACCTGCTGTCTAGAAAGAATCGTTTGATTTTATAAAACAACAATAGAAATATCTACTCCGCCCAATTGATTTGCTTGAAGTAATTCTTTAGCCGAAACAGGTAAACATAACGTTTGATAAATTGAAGAAGCTTTTTGAGCAACCGAGCAGTCTGTTTCATCAAATAAACATGAATAAAATTCCTTACAAAAATAAATAAATAAATTTCATATACAACAATTTTTTTTGACTTTTTTACTTTTCGGAATGATTGAGGTGTATTAGAAGCATAATGATTAGCTAATGAACAAAAATCTTCAAGATCATCATTAGTTAAATTTGATGGTGCTTTAGATAAAAAACCTAATTAAATAAACATTTAAAATTATTATAGAAGACTAATAAGTGTATATATATATATATATTTACTAATAATTTCATCTTTTTCTTTATCAGCCATTTCAAACATTTGTTCTCTAAAAATTTCTTTATACAAAATCTTTTATCGAAATAAATTCATTTCTTACTTAGCAAACATAAGTAATACAAGAGCAAGAAAAAAAATAAAAAAATGATCTGCATGTTGGAAATATCCATCCCATAGATGAAGTGTAACATCTAATGAACATGATCCAGCATACAGACTTCGAATCTACATAAAAAAGAAAATAATCTATAAAAGTTAAAAAGATATTTTACGATTAGGTAGTTTTTTTTCGATTAAAAGGATATTAGAAGGTTGTAAAGGGTATCTTTTATGACTTAGTTTTTGCTCTATCTTAACATGATCTTTTTGATACTTGTGATCTCTCAAGTAGATCCTTTCGGGTCTAAATTTTTTTGGACCCAGATCCGTTGGAGTTCGTGTCTGGGTCCAGGATCAAGTAGACGAGGTCTATCCTCCAGACTTAAACACAAATTTTCTCAAGTTCCTTCAAAATAAAATCCACCAAGTGTAATGTTTTACGCTGCCCTCGAATATGGTTTTCAAATCGAAACCAACCGAGTTTCATAGAGAAAAATGAATGTTATTAATAAATTGATCGTATTAGTTTTTCGTTTCACAAATCTTTCAATACTCCTAACAAACCTTCTGATACACACATCCGATCGAAAACAGAAACAACTTTATTGTAACATATTTTTTTTTTATGATTTATACCCAAGTATATGCATATAAATCTGGTGTAATTTTTCTAGTATCAAAAAAGCTACATAATTCTGGATCATGATAAAGTAATAATAATCGAAATAAATGATAAGGCGTTCCATTAGCTTCACAATAACTTGAACAAAAAAAATTGAATACGAAATAAATTTCATAATAAAAAACAAACAAATTATATACCGAGGAATATAACGATTACGAATATTAGCAAATAATGCGTAGAGTTCAGCTCGATCTTTGTATTCAAGTGTAATCAATGGTTTTAATATATCAATCCATCCATTTCCTTTTTCATAATTCTCAGTACTAAATAAATAGATTAATGAAATAAAACAAAAAGAAAAAATTTTTTGTAAATTTTCATACTATTTTTTGCAATAAAATGTTATAACTGCTTCAATATCACTCAATTTTGATGCTTCGACATCTTGATTTATTTTTAATGAACCTAGAATATTGAAACTATTCAATTTAATAAATTATTTGATTTATTTTACACCTACGCACTAAACGTAAAACATCTTCACGTATTAGATTTTGTTCAGGTAAATCAAATACATCACTATCAACATAATCATATTCATTAACATCATTGATATCAAGACAAGTCTAAAAAAAAATAGAATAAACATTTCTTATTGAGGAAAAAATCATATGTAATAATTTTCAATCTATAGAGTATGTAGAAAAATGGATAGATTATCATTTAGAATGATATCAATAAGAACTAAAATCATCGCCAACTTCTAAATCATTAGAAAACTTCGAGTCTGTTATGCTAGTCGAAAACATAAAACCAATGTATTTTTTTTGTTATATTTTACGATATCAAGCATTTAATTCTAATCAAAATAGTGATTTGTAGGGAGCTGCTTGTCCATGTTTTTGTGAACCACAGACTCGATTCCGAACTTTCATCGATTTGACTATGAATTCGATATGGATTAAAAAATTCCTATCGACCATATTGATGAATGCAAGCTATGATATACATATGTGTCTTTTCTAATAATATTGGCATCAGCCCTCGCATGTATCCTATATTAATACTGTTTCGTGACAACATATAAAAGTTTATCCTACTTTCGCCAACACACGTCCTAGACTTCCGCCAATTGACAGAATTCCAGTCACCTCCAGATCCGATTGAACAGTGCTTTGGTACTCTCGATAAAATTTTCGTATCACGTTTGTTTTCACAGTATTACAGTTAAAGTTTGTGGAGTCCAAAATTTAGGGATTCGAACTCGGTCAACAGAAAAGTTTCAGATTCCGACCTGACTTAAAGCAGTTATTTTAAAAACGAAAAACTTCAGGTATCAGTACATTCATGTTATTGAAATTCAATATAACAGTCTTTGAAAAGTTGTTGTTTTTTCTTCTTCTTACTTTCCAAACTGCTAAACGTAAATCATTTGTCAATGGTCGACATTTTCCAATAGTTCGTATTGATCCTAAATCACATCCACGTTCAAGTGCTAAACGTAATTCATCAATCCATTGATTATCATGACTTTTTACATTATCTTCTTCATCGGTTTGAAATACTTCATTATCATTCACATTCAATTCTGATTCATCTTCAAGATTAAATGATTGTCTATTTTCGTCAGACATAATCTGAAAGGACATAAAAAAGAAGACAAAGAAAACAATAACTTCAAACTTTTGTTTTCTAAATTTCTTTTTTTTTTTTTTTGTAAACATCATCACATAGACTGTACAAAGACACAAAACATATGAGATAAATATTGTTTTCTATCAAGAATCATCAGCCAAATCAAATTGACGAAATTTATCAAGATTGTAGAATTTTGCTCTAACAACACGTCCAGCAAAATATCGTCCATTCATATCGACAACAGCTAAAATTGATAAAATAATAAATTTCAATATATCTTTGCTCAGACAGTTATTTTTGGCTCTATGATATGGAATCATGAATTTTTATATCATACCTATCATTTAAATCATCATAGCAAAGACTTTCCTCAATGAAGATTCGAACCCGATACCAAAGAATTTCAATCGAAAGAAACCATTCAACTAGATATTAGACAACATACCTTTAATAGCTGATTCAACTCGTTTAAATTCAACAAATATTCGTACAGCTTCATCTTCAGGTGCATCAGGAATCTTGTAAAATTAAAATTTAATATTAATAAAGATGTAAAGTATTTTTCATGTACATACTTCATAAATAAGACATTTTTCAACTTCACCATATTTTTGACATTCTTCTTTTGTTTCACCTGAAAAATAAAACAAAATTTAATTATCTTCGAAATAAATAATAAAAATTTTTACTATCAAGTAAATCATCAACTTCACCAGGACCAACCATATTCTTAAAAAAAAAATAAAGTAATAAAATATTTTTCTTTTGGGAAAATTTTTAAATACTTTAAGTAAAATAACTTTCGTTGCTCCTTTTAATTCATCGGCTATATTTATACCGGAATCACCTTTTGGAATAACAACAGAAGAAGGTGCTATTATTGGTAGAGAAGGAGATGGAGGTGGTAGTAGTGGTGGTGGTGGTGGAAGTAAAATTGTATCTAAAATATATTTTTAAAATCTATTTCGAATTTAATTAATTATTTACCTTTAGTTGGTAATTCTTTTTCATGCACAATTTTTCCACCACGTTTACTTGTTTTTTCAACAATTAATGCTGAACTCATACCCTGTTGAGATTTACCAAGACCTTGACCTTCTCGATAGCCCATTTTAGCCATCATTTTAGCAACAGCAGCTGCACTAAAAATAAATTATATATGATTATTTCTCAAGTTGATACTTCAAATCAAGAGGACAGATGTTGTCAAAAGTGATTATAAGTGACTATTATATTTTCTTGTATCAAATTTCTTTGATAAATATTGATGCAGAAATGTCGCGCTATCCAGTCTAGCAAAATTTTTGTTTTCCAATGGCGAAGTTCCAAAGTTTTATTAGTTTTTTTTTTGTTCTCCGGTTCCTAACAACATTCACTACTCTCCTTAATCTTAACAATCTCAGGACATCCCTGAATTGATGTCAATTTCCGTAACACTCTATTGCAACGATTTGTGTTTAATTCAGACTAACTGAAAAGTATGTGTTGTTTTTTTGTTTGATGACTAACAAATAGTAAATGAACAACTCGTTTGAAATTTTCATAAAACTCTATGAGCTTAGATCGAGAGTATTATAAATGTATAAATAGATATGTCAGATATATTACATAAGGAAAACAACTTTTCAAAGTGTCTATAATTTATGTTCAAAGTCAGAGTATCATGCAGTTGGCTAACCAACACTCACTCACACTCAAAACTGCATCTGTGCAGTAGTGGTTGATTTATTCATTTATCTATGTTATTTCCTTATTCTATGACTTTTCTTTTGTTTGAAATTATAATTCTAGACAATCTATTCTAAAAGTTTTATTATCTTAAATAATAATAAATTAATAAACAAAACATAAAATACCCTTTAGTAGATCCAAAACTAAGATTTGGTCCTGTACTTTCTGTTTCCATATCTTCAATACGTTCATCTGAAATTGACGGAGGTATTGATGGATATTCATCTTTTGTATCTATAACAAGAAAAGAAGAATTTTTGTTCTTTAGTGTGTTTTTGATTGAATATACCTGGTTCATTTTGATTATTACTACTAGCTCGTCTATCTTCTTCAATTAATGATGAAGGTGGTGCAAAAACATTTCCTTTTCGTATTGGTCGATCATTTGATTCATGATTATAATCATCATTATCATCATTTTCATAATCGTCATCATATAAACCTTTTTGTTCATCTTCATTACGTCGTTGACGTTCGATATCACGATCACGTTGATATTGTTCACGTTTACGTTGTTCTTTTAATTTTTCATAATCATTTGGTTTCAATGGATCATATTCATCTGTATAACCAAATACAGATATATTTGATGTGATATTTTGAATTAATGCTGTTACTGAAAGTGATGGTCCACTAGAATCTTGTTGTGGTGAATTATTATCACGTAATTCCATCTTAAATAATATTAAAATAATTATCGAAATTTTTTGTTTTCAATTAAAATTACGAACCTTTCCAGTAATACTATTAAATGTAACTTCAGCATTTGAATGACGTGGTAATGGTGGTGCTCGTTTTTTACGTAGATCAGCTACAGGTCCAACAACATTTTTGTTGAGATCTTTCTAAACAAGAATTCGATGATCAATATTTATGTGAATAATTATATGAAAAAAATATTTTACTTTAAGTTGTTGTTGTTGATGAAATTTTTTCGCATGTATTGGTCCTTGAAGTAATTTAATTGAGTCTGACCATGCTCCGACTAATTATAAAAAAAAAATAAACAAATTGAAATATATTCTATTTTTTTAATGATTTTTAACGAAACCTTTTGTAGTACCGTCTTTATTCGGTTCTAGTAATTCATCATCATATAGTGACATTTTCTTTTTCTTTTTCGATAATCTATTTGAAAGAGATACAAGAAGAAAATATTTGAATTTGAAAGGTAAATAGAAATATTCAAAAAAAGTGTTGTCAGAGGTTCGAATAAACATCCAATGATAAATTTTGACGAACAAAAATTTCCATTGGATCATCATCGTCTACTTATAACACACGATGAATCACCTAATCTTCTTACTTTTACATAATAGGCAAATCAATCAATCGATCAATCAATCAGTATTATTAGAAAGGTTACGACAAAACCATCTTCTTTCCTAAAGTAGATATCTATTTAACCATCATGTTATGACACTGTATAAATTTGATTATGACTTCTTTTTTCTGTATTTGATTGATCATAATATATATATAGTATACAATAACTTGAAGTAATTAATTCTTTTTTTTCTTTTATTTAAAGAAGTAAGGGTGTACGGTGTTCGATTACATTTGTAGAAGATAGAAAATGTATTGTATATGTTTCTAAAAATGTCAGCTTCGCTTGAAAGACAATAGGCAGTAGCATCAGCTGGTAATAACAAGTTTCTATTCTATTTGTTCGTTTTCCTCTTTCCATTCTGTTTATCTCCCACGTCGTTCCTATCGAAAATGAGTTGAAACACACAAATATAACTAAAAATATACCAACAACAATAACAGCAATAGCATTGCTATCTATGGAGATATGCGCATATACATATATATGAGGTTATTCATTATAGTAACAAAGTTGCTAGAATATTTTTCTTTCAAAGTATTAATTGAGATCTTAATCGTCCTTCTTAATATTACTATTTTCTTTTTCTTGGTTTCATTCAATAGAAAATCACATATTATTTCGACATATTTATGATTATTATGACGTTTCAAGAATACATAAATATATAAAAGAATATATTTTTTTAGGTTATTCGTTCTATCGATATTTATTCAACGCTTTTATAAGATTCATAGACCAATAAAAAGCAAAAAAATAACATGAAGTAGTTTTTTTTTTCTACTCATTCTTATATTTTTTATTGTCCTTTTATAGATTGACATTTCAAAGCGTTTCACCTGTAATTCTTTTCTTATCGACTAAAGACACATATCATCAACGCAATGATGTTAATTGTTGTTCTGTTAAACAGAAGAAAAAGAAAAAACAATTTACACTTTTATTTATTTTAGATTCATGTAGTCAAATGGATCAAGTCATTGTCTATTTTATTCTAATCCTATGTTTATTCCAATCAAGTCAATCGAATAATAATAAAAATAATAATATTGCTTATAATATTCCTGATCCAGGTTAATGTTATTTTTATTTTGCTTCTTTCTTAAATATTCCATTCTTAATAGATTGTACTGGTGTATTTAATTTATGTACCGATGCTGATAAAGAACGACTTGGTCGTCAAGCAATAAAATCGATACACGAGCAGATGGACGATGATAAAGATGGATTGATTGAAGCATCTGAAAGTCGTGATGTAAAGTTTTTTTTTTTTTTTCGATAAAATAATACTTTGTTTTAAAACAACAAAACGAATACTTTAGTTTATTCATGAAGAATTAGAATCCAAAACTGATTCAGTACGACATCGTCGTTTTCAAAATGATGATTTACAAATAACATTTGATGATTTATGGACACAATGGAAAAATAATCCAGGTTTGTTTACTTTTATTTTTTTTTCTAAAAAGAAGAATATTTTCTTTTTCTTTTTTGTTTAAAGTTTATAACTGGAGTAATGATGATGTTATTCATTGGGTTGTTAATCATGTTCATTTATCAATTTATGTTGAATATTTTCGTAGAAATCAAATTGATGGTCGAATGATTCCAAGGTTAATTTTCTTTTCTTTCTATTTATCTTTATTCTGTGTTTTTTTTGTTCTTAATTTTAGATTAGCAGCAAATGAAAAACAATATATTTCAACAATTATGCAAATACGTGATCCTAGACATAAACGACGTTTAATTATCAAAGCTACAGATGTTGTCTTATTTGGTCCACCACAACGTATGTGATTTAATCTTGTCATTTTTTTTATTTAAAGGTCATACTGCATTCCTTTAGAAACTCATCGACTTATCAAAGATATGATTTTAATATCGGCATTATTAATATCTGTTGCTGCATGTCTATATGCGTTTATTCGGCACCGTAAA